CCCTAGTATACAGGACAGATGCGACGTGGGACACAAAAAGCCATTGTGATTGACCGGGGCAAGGTATTGTTCTGCGCACGCGCAGTATTGCCCAACCAATGTGGGTTCGAACCCAATGTGAAAGGTTTTAAATTATAATGTACAATTTATTTTTATTTTAAACGGAGATTTTCATAGCTTTCTCGTTGCTACAGTTCTTCTTGAAGTTGCGAACTCTTGTTTTTTTCCCGCCATTGTAAAACCAAGTTGATTCTTTCATGGACCTGGTACTACTTTTATTTAAAAATTCTTAATTACGAAACTATAGACGTTGTTGTCAGACGTACATGTATAACACTAGCAGTTGCCTACGACTTCATCCGCTCGGAGTTAAAACTTAATAAGTAAATCTTCTTCTTCTTCCGGACTACGTTCTATATACCAAATCGATATCTTTTTAGCCGTTTCGAAAATACCTTCTAACAAACATACATTTAAGAATTCGCATTTATAATATCAGTAGTAAGCAAAATGACCCTAGCAATTCCACTAACTTATATACACTACTAGCTGTCGCCCGCGACTCCGTTCGCGTTGTATAAAGATAAACAAGGATTTTTATGGTTTCAATGGTATAAAAACAATGTAAGAATGGTAAATATTCTTAGCGAATTGTCACATAGAGTAGACTACACAGACAGTTCACTGAGAACAATGACCACTTTACTCGTTGCGTAGCACGTCATGACAATGGAATGCAAACATATTCGCTAATCTCTTAACAAACTAAGTACTCTATTCTTTGAATATATAACATTGTGTCGACATATATCTTATATATGTATTGAACAAGGTTACGAGATAAAGTCGATAATAGAGCTTCATACGTCCTAAAACGTCACGAAATCTTATTAATATAAATGCGAAAGTTTAGATTGATGGATGTTTGTTACTACGTATCTCCAGGACGGCTAAATGGGTCTAGCTGAAATTTGGCATAGATGTAGAAGAATACATAGGCTACTTATCAACCTTTTTTTTTAAATACCGCGTGGCAAAGTCGCGGCCGACAGCTAGTACAGAAATATATTCATGACTACTTCCTATACACCCTTTTCGGAGTAAAAAGACTGATTGTATTACTGTTCTGTTTCACAATATCTTCTTTGGCTCATAATCGTTGTATTATTGAGATATTTTTAAAATCTATCTAGTACAAACACGGATTTCATTTCCTCAGCCTCGTTTGAGATCGGCTGCGCTATTAATATCGTAAATCAATTTCGACATTTTGTTTATTTTACAAAAGCCCAATGAGTAAAACACATTTATGAATTATTATTAAGGAAATATTATGGTGTATTATTTTTAGAATTAACGAGAAACATGTTAAATAATTGTTGCAATACTGACTTCAAATCTGGTATCTATTCCAGAATGACTGAATGACCCGATAGGTGGCGCTGTCTTTTGTATAACCTTAATTATTGCCATAAATTTTTAATTATTTTTACCAAAAAGGTTAACTATTATTATGATTTATTCATGTTCGTTTTATCTTTATAAATTATCACGCGTGTTTGTATACATTTAAATTGTGTAAGTTACACATCAAATATAAAAAGATATAATTAATATTGCTATTTAGGTCATATTAAAAAGCCACATACAAATTCAAGGAAAAACAATGCGTTGACTTAATTTGAAACACAAATTCATTGTCCAAATGAGATTGATGAGAAGTGACGGTTATTACGCAATTATCGAATGCCACTTTCGTTTAAACTAATCGACTCAATTTATATACAAACGTAGCGTGACTTTTGTATTTATACAATTGATAAATATCACATAATAAAAAACAATTTAGTCTATGACCGAAGTCAAGCAATTACATTCATAAAGGAAGAAGAAATGGTGTATTTATGTCTGATATAATAAGTAGAACATTAAGTTATATTATTACGGTATTCTTTTTTTTTACATTTTGTGTATGTGTTCCATTTAGGGTGCCCATTAGCGGCGCATTAGCCAGGATCTGGACACACACCTACGTTGCCATTTCTTTTCTACACTTCACGGCACAAGATTGTGAATTCTTGTATTAAAAAAATTGTAACGATTGCTTTCAAATAATCTACTCGTCTTCCTTTCTTTTGTCTATGAAACCATAAAAAAAATTGTATGGCTTACTATGCTTTTAGGCATGATTCTTTAAAGTTAACTAGTTAGACTAATTAGGATTCTTATCAACTAAGTACGCGAGTAATTTATACTAAGTGTTACCGAGAATGTTTAAAAGATAAATACGTCAGCAAGAATTCTAATTGACCCTTTCACTTAGTCATTAACTAACCACTGCAAGGAAAGCAATTTAACTACAGTTACATAAGTAAATTCGAATACTTAAAGTTGAAATAAAATTAAAATACTTTTTATTAATTTAGCAGAACAAAAACAAAAAAATAATGGTATAATTTCGAAAAAATCACAGCTATAAACAGGTCTACACCGATCTGGCTGAATAGATACGATGTATCAAATTACTAAAAAAAAAACCATGAAGCGCGTCCCGCATCCTGTTCCTTAAATAACCTGTGGCGCGCCATAGACAACGGCCGCGGCGTTTCCCGCGCTTTGTGTCTATGCTCGCTGTCAACATTCAACAACACACCCGTATTTTGTGTACACAAGGGCTGAGTCATTTCTAAAATTACGTCTTTTATCAATGTATTAAGTGATATAATTAAATTAAAATTACATCTTCGTATCAGCTTATTTTAAGGGCAATAAGGTACGTATATATAGTTACGAATTAATCCTTTTCTAATATAAATTTCTTTAGACCTTACGATCCTTATTCTTTAAAAAAAACTAGTGTAGGCTAACGTTAGCCTCTGCTGTTATACTTCCCTTGTTTTTTTTATGCAAGGGTAAGATTAGAAGTGTGGGGTGTAAAGTAAATGAATGTTTTGAATTACTAAAGTAAGGGCAGGGCGTACGAACTACAACCATTGTGATCCTATAAATTTAGTATTCCAAGCCTCGATAAACAAGGAAAGGGTCTTTTAGTAGATTTTTATGGTATTTTATTTTAACGGTTTTAAAATAATTAAAACAACACGCACATGTTTTAAGTTCCCCGTCCCTTGAGTTATGTCAAACAAGAAACATTGTTTGAATCAACACCTCTTGAAGTTGTTTGCTAACAACTTTTTTTACCATTTCCTTGAGTTCAACTCTAAAACATGTAGACAATGTATACCGTAAGAAGAAAAAATATTTACATTTCAAAACTAAAACTAGGTAATGAGAAGAAAAATGTCCTAGACCACATAGTACCTAAATTATATACTCAAATTAACGTTTGTCATAGCTAGATATGATTGCACATTAATATTATCTGTATGGCAGTAAAAGTAATTATATAAATTAAACACAATGTATTGCTTCAAGCGTAAACATTTCCAGCTCCAAAACGGTAATGTTTCCATCCACCGAATAAAAACATACCGTAATTTATAAGAAAATTAATAAGTTTCATTCGTAGAGATATTATCGTAATTTCATTATTGTGTACACGGCTGGTGGTAAATAGAAATGCATACAATGGGAGATAACATCTCGTTTAACAAGTAAAAACTAACGGTACACATCGTTGGATAACTGAACACGAATTTACATACAAGAACCGTACGTTTTAGCCGATGCATTTTATTTAAAAAGAATAAAAAGAGACGACAACAAACAATACGTTAGCCAATATCAGTTCGAAAAGCTGTTATATTTTTTCAGTTGGTTCGTTGTGGGAGAACCGGCCCGACAGGGAACAAGTCAACAGGTAGGGTATAGGGCAGTGACCCACAGTTGTCCAACCACAACATGAATGGCACCATCGATATTCAGCTGATAAAATGAATGTTCGTTAATGAAAAATCGATTTTGGTAACATTGATGTACCATTAAAATCGATAAAGAGAAAGTCGAGGTTAAACTATCTACGTTGAGTAAGGAATCATTACAGAGTAAGGAATCTTTCACATTTTTTAAATTAATTAATACTCATATAAAACTTTACAAAGAAAGTTTTAAACGTTAACAAGTTAGACAAAGTTTAAGTTGAAATACCACTCACCTCGCCTCACAACTGCACGCGAAACGACTTGTTTCGAGCTAGTTGCAAGCGGCCTGCTTGTCCTTTTGAACTCAACAAAGGTCTTCTACTTTCACCGATGGACACGGCCCAAGGAATAAACCATACACGGCCCTCTCGTGCGTCGCTATGCTACGCGCTTTTGCCGAACGAAACAGTAACGTTCAATTGAAACGGTGAATAGCTATCGCAAAAAATACGCACAACACAAACACCTTAATGAATCACTTAACACCGCACCAGCATCATTTATTTGATAGACAAAAGTTTTTTTGTCTCCAAAGGTCGTCACTGCCAAAAGTTTCCCTAACTTTTCGGATGTCAGAAGATAGACCAGCACATGACATCCGTCAAGGGGCGACGCCGCCGCGCGAATGGAATGGAGGAATCGGGTTGGCCGCAATGAGAACAAAACGACACTTTGAGAAACGGAGCGTGTGCGTGCGACGGAAAATCAGTAAGGCTACAAGTGTGAAAGAGAAAGCGGCGGAGGCCCGCTCACCAATGGTGTAATGTCCCCCTTAACGCTCTTCATCGCGTGCAAAATTTAAAACAAAACACCTGTGCCAATTTTATTTATTTAGATAAGTGACATAAATAGTCAAACTTTTAATTACTTTCACAAAGTTATTTAAACTGGTTTACGGCATGTTTTAAGTGGGAAGTAAGTATCTTCATAGAAAAGATGTATTCACACCTCCTCAGTTAAATTATAAGTCCCACAGTTATGGTATTTATAAATTTATATTCTTACACACAACCACTGGATTAGTAGAAAGATAATTATATATTTTATACATTCAGAAATGAAACTCATTAATATTTCAAACATATTTTAATTAAATTAAAACTAAATCATTTTATGTACAATTCATGTAGTACCATTTGCTCTTACAAATATATCATATTCGATTTTACAATAAATCAGTCAGATATCACATTTACATCAATTGAATTTACAAAAACTATATTCAAAAAAATATTTAATGTGACAAGCAACAGCAATAAAAACAAAAGGTAAAACTAAACTCATTAAACATTTGGAAAGATGAGTACAATCACAATCAAAATAAACAGGTGACATCAAACTTTAAAAATCAAACAAACAAAATCTTCAGGGGACAAGTGTTAAAAATTAAAAAAGTAATTTCCATAAATAGTTACTATAACAAGTTTTCCTTACAACTGTATCCAAAGTCATATATCTTACTTATGTGTAAATGTATCAAAATACTGGTTTGCCTTAATATCACAAAATAACACAATCTACAATTTAATCTGGAAAAGATCTACAAATAATCCAATATACTAATGTGATTTAATACATATATATGTTTGTAGTAATAAAAAAAGTATAATTATATGTCAATTACTAAATATACAAATCAATTTTATATACTGTGGGTTTCTATGACCAAAATCCATAATACCTGTCATAATCTTTGACAAAACAGAGATAAAAATATTGTCTCTGTTTTGTCAAAGATTATGACAGGAATGACAACATGTTTTATGCAGAGATTGTGATCTCAGAAATCAATAACCAACAAAGTTATCTGACCTTGACTTAAGTCAAATAAATTATGATAAACATTTTTGCAATGAGAAAAGTGTGACAAGTTCCATGTCATACTGCTTTGCCACATTTTTTCTTTTCTAGGAATAACAGTGCCTCTTTTACCAGCTCGAACTTGCCACACTGTATCTAAGTTACGAAGTAGGGTTGTTTACATAGACTGTTTAAAAGCAACATTTTCAAATGAATTTCCTTAAACTAAATATTTACATTTGTCATTGTTTTATCAAATCTACTGGAACTTCTAGATCTGTAGGCACTAGTAATGGATTTTTATATTTTTTCTTTTCAAAATTTTCATTTCTCACCACTGGACTTGGTTTATCAAAAGCAGTCCTTAATGTAGAGACAATTGTGTTAATAAAACTACCTAATACATAAATACCACCAACAACGGAATAAAGACGGAGAATGAATTTTAAAGGATTCTCTCTTTCTTGATACACTTTAATTTTTAACGCGGCCATATCATATTTAAAGAAAATGCCCGGAACACCATGAGAGCCTTTACTATGGCTCACTGGCCTTTCTAGTTCTTTAACAGAATATTGATAAGTTTTTATAGAATCTAATGTGATTTCCACATCAGTAGGTACTACTTCTACAAAATACTGAAACAGCATGTTTTCATCATTTGTAATCTTTTCGTCACCTTCTAAAGGATATATTATGCCATTAGCTGGATTACCAAAACTTAATCTGTGAATTCTGTGACTGAAATTCTGTGGTGTGTCATCAAATAGCATATTTAAATGTATGTGTCCTCTTGGTAAATGTAAGCTCTTCCCTGCTGTTATATGAAAGTTACCAGCAACTTTATTTAATGTTAAAACTCCATGGAGCCTACATGCATCAGGTCGTCGATTCGGACGACTTTTTCTTGGGGGTATCGTGGCTCTTACAGACCCATGCCCTTTTTTCCAGAGTAACTGCCAAATTGAATGATATTCCTCACGTAGATAGGAATTCAGATACTTAACAGCGTCAAAAGCGTCCTGCTGTTCTTGTGTCAATTCAAACCAAGTATCTTCTTCTTGCAACTCACCAAAACCGAAAACACTTTGTGACGTGGAGTCCAAAATATCCGCCCCTAAGTTAGAACAGGGCATTGCAACTGTAATATCAATATTAATGTGTAACTTTTCATCCATATCAATGTCTGGCATAAATTTAAACACTAAATTACTGTCTAGGTAATACGTAATTTCGCTATACATTAACCAAGCAACAATAAAAAAAGTGATAACAGAGAAAGTTACGCTAACCGACGTGCTGTCTACATATTCCTCTGGAACTTTTGGAAATGCGTCTAGTTCCTTTACTTTATCTAAAACTTTCTTTTTTCCTCGGTATCTTATCATTTTATCACTTAATTGTATGTAAACAATAAATAATCGGCGTTTTGTAAAATCGAACGTAAGCTCGAAATAATGTACCGTTGACGTTGATTGACAATTGGTTGACGTGTTTTGGACTTTCAAAGAGCACGTAAACCTAGTGTTGACTCGATCACAGGGTAAAAATTAATTTCAATTTATTATCTTTGGATTTTAGCCTTAAGCTTCCTTATAACATTTAATTTTGATCTATTTTTTTGTTGTTGAATGCTTTAGAAATAATAAAATTTAAAAGTTATGACAGGATTTTATAAACATAATTCATTTAAAATAAAATTCATTACAAAAGGTATTTTCATTTATCAAAATAAATTGGCTTTAGAACATACGTTTACAAAATATTCTTTGATGTTTTAAATCTCAAAAGTCATCTGTCATCCTTGTAAGCAGCAAAAATCCGAACAGGCGTGAAGTAATACACAGAACGGAACGTGAAAATTGTTCATTGTATATTACCCGTCTTTTCTATTTATACCAGCAAAAAGTTTAAAAACATTTATGCAGTCCGACGGGGAGGAAACTTTGCTGCATTCATGCTTCGGCTCGCTAAAGACCGCAGTCATGGGTTGCTGTTACAGTATTTGCCACAAGGAAACGGATCCAGAGGTATTTCTATTGTTCAATTATTTTCTATGTTCATAGTGATTTTAGTAATGACCCTAATACGCTTATAATTTTATTATCTCTGCATTTTTTGCGGAATGTAGTACAGAAGTTCATTACGGACAATTTTTACACGTCCGCCAAACTGTCAATAATATGAATAGTGTTCTTATCAGTAATTCCTAGTTGACTGCCACATTATCTTATTTATTTGTATTGTAATGAACCTGGAAATGTGTGAGATATAGGTTACTATATTATTGTTTTACTTTCGGAAGTGCATTAAAATTTATTGCTACATTATCTAAGTTTTAAATCAACAGGTACTTAGGTATTTATAGTGCAATGCGCAAATTGATGATTCAACAATAGTTTGCACGTTTGTAATGTGTACTTTATTGCTTTAACACAATGCTATTTGTTTTTTATATATTTAAATTTACTATCTGTGGGTTTCCGTGACCAAAAATTATTGTTTATGATAGATTTTTATCTTTGTTATATCAAAGATAATAACAGGGATGATGATATGTTTCCTACAGTGATTTTGATCTTAGAAACCTACAGCAACTCATATGGAAACACATGGTACACCACCAAAGACACAAAAGTCCCATTGTAAGGTTTTCCTCTAAAAAATTATTACCTAAACTAAACTCCAGGCGTGACACCTCATTAATGTAATACCTGTACTGTACCTTTCTTTGTAGCCTTTATCTTTTAAGACTTTTTTTATACTTGATAAACTCTGATGTGGATGGCATTATGCACTGTAGTTTTGAATATTGCATTTAATTTTGGATATTGAATACTACAAGAAATCCTTTTAATGTTTTTATTTTTGTTAAATCAATCTTTTCAATACAAGGTGGATGTAATGGGCTTATTTTATATTCAAATTTATTTAAATATAAAACATATATGCAGAATTAGCATGCTATATAGACTTTATGTCAACATAATAATTTATGCATGATCAAGACTTAGTGTTTGCAAATTTACATCTTACTAATACTATAAACTAGCTGTCGCCTGCGACTCCGTCCGCGTATAAAAACTAAATATATAGATAAGTTAAATAAATAGCAGCTCTTCAAGGCATAAATTCGAAAAAAAAAGTAAAAAAATGAATAAAGCCAAGCTCCTCCTCACCAATTTTCAGGCATATCGGTAAAGCCGCTCTTGAGTTATAAATAGTGTAACTAACACAACTTTCTTTTATATATATAGATGTGAAAGTTTAGATGGTTAGATGTTTGTTAGAAGGTATCTCCACAACAGCTAAACTGATCTCGGTGAAATTCGGAATACATGTGGAACAGTCTGGAACAACACATAGATTAATTATGTTTTTTTTAATTCTATGGATGGAGTCGTGGGCGAATGCTAGTTCAAAATATATAAATAAAAAGTACCTTGGATAAACAAAATCTTCAAGATTGTTTATTTGCTTTGGCTAATGATCTATACATGATACTGTTTTAGCATTTGCCCTTGAAATCAATAATATTAAAATTCATCTGAATAAAACTAAGTTTTTTTTTAAATATTAAATATTAAAATTTGAATACTTTATCATATTAATACCAATATTAAAAGAAATTTAATTGTGCATTTATAATTGTTTTGAATTAAGAAAAATTTAATTCTCTTATACATCCATCTATTAAAACAATTACATTTATAATATAAGTAAAATCTTTATATAAATGTAAATAAATAGATCTTAATATTTTAAGATACTCGTATTTTATAAATGTTTTTATAACTTCTTCTATTATTTTTTAAACTTCTTGTGAAGGTAGTCGCTGGCCAAAGCTAATCTTTATAATCAGCTTATAAAATCAATGGACGCAATATTATTTATGCACATAATAACCTTAATGTATTGGTCATGGGTGTGTTTTTATACATTTAACATTTAAAACTCTTGTGAAATAATCTGTCTAGTTTTGTTAGATTACTAGTTTTTAAATTCACTAAAAAAACAAACAACGTTCTCTAGTTTTTGCATTCTAATTAGCTGAATTTAGTTTAGCAATATTTTACAACATAATCACGCCCGTAACTGAGAGGTGTAAACAGAGACCGCAGACTGGCCAGGATGGGTAAAATTTTGTCACTGTTTAATATCATCCCATAAATTTTCTTTTAACATTTTTGGTATGAGTCATACAAAGATTTAATTCCGTGAATCTTATATAGACTATTGCAACCGTAAATTTATTCTAATTTCATATTTAGGGTTCTGTACATTAAAGGGAAAGAACGGAACCTTTTAGGATTGCATGTTGTCTGTGCATTTGTATGTCTGTCAAGACACTTATTTATCACCCACATAAAAAAGCGAGTCCACCCAACCAACTAAGAGAGTTATATGTTTTATTAGAACCCTTAAGAGAAGTTTTTCTTTTCGTTGGTTAACAGAATCTATCTTTATTTTAAGTTGTGTCTGTTTGTTGTTTCAGGAGAACATAGTGAACGAGCGGACACATCTCCTCGAGGTGGCGGAGCAGCAGCAGGAGAGCCCCTCGCCAGTCGCGTGCGCAGCTACTCCGCCGCGCAAGCCTGACGAGCAGAGCGCGCTCAACAGGATCCTGCATGAGACCGCCACGTGAGTCATAACACGTAACACGGTTATATAACACGTCTGGACTGACACCGCTTATCATAACAGGCGTGTTCCAACAACTATAACAATATTGTACAGTTCGTTAATCGATATTTATACATATTAATAACATTGGAATGTTTGTATGTAATAAAAAATATATATATCTTTCAAATGATGTATTTGCGTAGCTGACAGCTAAAATTTTTGTTTGTGTGTGTAAGCAAGGCCATGTTTGTTCCGGCTAATCTCCTAAACGACTTGGCCTATATTGACGGTACTTGGACCGGAAGGTACCTGATGTAGCGGGCATGTTATAGACTACATTTTTAATCCGCGCTAATGCAGTCAAGGATAGTTATAAAGAAGATTATTCTTAGTATTGTTTCTTTTTTTCCAGTAACGTGATAGATGTGGGTGCGCTGGGGCCGTACGCGCTGGAGGCGAGTGCGTACAACGAGCGCGTGCGCACGTACACAGCGCGCGCGGCCGCCGCCCCGCCCCCGCCGCCGCGCGCGCCGCGCCTGCTGGCAGACCTGCCGCCCGCACTGCGCGCCGCCGCACTCGCCGCACCGCCGCCGCACGCGCTCGACAGGGACCTGGTACACACTGCTACATTCACATCTCTTCAAACCATACATACCATACATACATACAAAATTATGGTATTATTCGAATTATTTTATACGTCTTATACATTTTTTTTCATTTTTATGACCCAGCCCGTGGCTGGAAGAATTTGTTACGGTCGGCTGTTATCCGGCCATTGCATGAACACTTATAGGTTTTCATAAATTTCGATCCCTCAGACGTAAAAAGTTACATCTTAGGTTTCTTATTACATGTTACTCTTTTCCTCTAATTTGTCGATTCCTGTCTCACTATCTGTAGATTTCTGAGGCTGTTGGCGCCGTTTTTGCTACGCCCTAATAGATGGCGCTGTGGCGAGACCGTATTTGTCTAAACACGATGTTGAAGTACCTTGTCTCGCCACATATACTTAACAGCCGGTCACGGACCCGGTGGTGTTTGGTTCGGTGTTGTCATTGCGTTTGTTGGTTGTTATTGTTGTCGTTACGTTTTGTAGTTTCCGTTTGTTTCGTTGTGCGTTGGTCGAGTCGTCCAAATTTCGGACAAAGTTGCGTAGGAAACAAACAGTGGTCCTTCGTTTGCCGAATATTTCGGTCTTAGTGTATTGTGTTGGACTAAAATATTCGACTCGGTTAATTGAGTACTTAAGTTGAGTTTCGAAACGTTTTAATATGAAAGTCTATTAAAAAAAAAAAAAACTTGTCTGGGCTTGGATTTGGCGGATTAAATACAGTTGGTGGTTAGTGTCTTTCGGCTATTATCTACGGTTAGTTTTTGTAAACGGCACAGTACCAGTTCAATTATTTGTAGTG